GCGTCTCCGCGGCCGCCGACCCGGGGCTGCTGCACCCAGGTGAGCTCCCTAGAGGGAGGCCCGCACTTCCTCCTCCTCCTCCTCCTCCTTAACGGCTGGGCGAGTGTTGGCGTTGCTGGCGAGATGCGCCAAAAGATGGTCTAAGTGCCCGCCAACCACTTCGACACCATCCAGAAGCCCCAGTGCGGGCGGGGTTGGGTGAAGAAGGTTTTGTAATTTAAATGTGAACATTGAGAACGAAGACACCTACTAGGAAGGGCTTCTGGTGGCTATCTGGGCTCAAAACAAAACAAAACAAAACAAAACAAAAACACACACACAAACAAACAAATCTTGGCAGCCATTTCTACGCAGGGGCCTCTCCAGGGAACTGCACTGAGGGAGAAGCCTGCTCGAAGCCGCCTGCCTCTGCCCTGAACTGTCTGCACCGCCTGCCGCCTCTGTTCCTTCCCCGCCCAATCGGAGCCACGAAGCTCTACCAACCAGAGTGGCTCCATCCGCACTAAGGACCTTGCCTTTTGAACCAAACAAACTGCAAAGATTTGGAGTCATCCATCCTTTGCCGAGAAAGGACCAATCAGGGACCAGGGGCAGGGACTTCTGCCTAAATGAACCAACTGCAAGTGTAATTTCCCTTTCCACTGAAGACTGGGCGGGGCTAAAACACCTCGGAGCAGAGCCCACTGGTAAGGGGCAGGGCCTAGCCTAGCCTATGAGCCTAGCCTAGTGTCTAAGCTTAGCCTTTGAGCCTAGTCTAGCTTTGGAGTGGAGCCTCAGAGCCTTGGAGCCTAATACGTGACAATTATATGAAATTCACACCTTAGTGTCCACAAATACAGTTTATTAGAATACCAGTGACCCGGTGCATGGATTCATGCACATTGAAAGGAAATTAATTAGAAGGTGGCTGGCGGGTGGGGCTGGGCTGGGCTAGACGTTTGGACACGCCTTGGAGCCAACCTCCTGCAGTCCCTCCCTGGCTGGCTGCACCTGGGCGGTGCCGTGGCTCGAAGGGCATCTGTGGAGTGAGTGGGGTCCCTCCGGCAGGTGGGGTCCCTTGGCCTGGCCTGTGGGGATCAGGCCGAAACCGGCTCTCTGACATCCCCCGAGGGGTCCTGGGGTGCTAGAGGGCACTCTGCAAAGTTGCTGTCGTATAGGGTGTGGAATGCAAACACAAGAGTGCAGTAAACCAGATTCTGGGCTGACAGCGCCCCAGCAACAACATAACCCACGGCTGAGGGTGGAATCGCACAACCCCGCGAGGGATTGGGCTCCCTCCTCTCTGGTTTCGGGGTGCATCACCCGAGAACTGCTGCTGCCGAGTCACTACAGCTCGGCAGCTCCTGCATTGTATGTCTGCCCCCTGGTGGTCAGTGCGTGTCATAGCCACTGGTAGGGGACACTTAGCATATTAGCCTTTTATATATAGACATATATATATAGCCACACCTATTTGTGTACATATTGTTGATGTCTGCTGTCAAACTATGAGGAGAGACTTGGAGTTTCAACTGAGACCATCAGCCATTCTCTCTCTGGCTGCTACAGACAAAGCAGCTGACCTCTGGTCTAGGATCTCGAATTCCCTTTATCATCTTGCACAGCTGGTTAAGAACTTTGGAGTTGCCTCTTTCACCAAGGACTGTCTTTTCTAAGCCAATTAGCCATTCCTTGGCGGGGGGGGGGGAGTAGGCTGCATGGACTGCATATGAGTCCCCGACTTAGGCACCCGGAGTCCCATTGGAAAGGAGAGTCAGAGATTGCAGGTGGATGGGGAAGGACGAAGCCCTTTTTCCATCTTCTCTGTGTCTGACCTGGCAGAGAAAATGTTCAAGCACGAGGGTGAGGCTAGGGGAAGGGCGTGTGAAGCCTTTTGTGTGGGTGCCACCTTTGTGTGGCAGTACCACCCCCTAAATGCTGGCAACTGTAGGCTCCACCCCAGTCTCCCCACATCGGGCACAAGCAACTTGTGTTTGGAATCGGGAAGCCACAGAAGCGATGACAGTGGGAATAGCTTAGCAAAGAGCAAGCTTGGAATCCTTCCGGAGAGGACTCCTGCAGGTGGGTTCAGGGGCCAGGCATCGCGGTGGAAGGAGCTGGCGTTGAGCGCCTGCATTAGCGTTGCTCAGTGTGACATCCCGCCTTCTCTGAAGCAGTGATCACTGATCCCAGAGGATGTGCAAAGATTCCTGACCCCCCTCCACCTCCCCGCCACCCCGCATTAACTGACATCTAGTAAGGCAAGGCTTCTGGTCAAAGGGCAGTGGATCCAATGCAGACGTTACTGCCTCCTAGTGGCCACAGCATGGGGCTCATCTCTAAATGGAGAGTCTAACAGGATTTCCCAGGTGCTGCTGGAGTTCATCCTCAGAGCTGGAGGGGCCTTAAGAAGCCACCCGTTTCATCTCCTTCACTTTGCAGGCGGGATGTTGACGCTCAAAGTCACAGGTGGGGTCCAGGGCTACGCGTCCCAAGTCCCGGCCCATCTGCCACATGGAGCTGCAGGCAGCTTCGTTCAGCCGCGCGGACTCCATGTGGTTCTGCGGCCTTCCCAACTGCTGGGCACGGCTAATACTGTGCCAGGCAAAGACGGGTGCCACCCCGGCCTGGAACCGTGGCTGCGGAGGACGCCTGGGAGACAGCCACGTGGCCTAAGACGGCAAACTCCCAGGGAGGACAGCACAGGATGCGGAGGAAGAAGGACCGGGTTTGCCAGCACCGCCAGCAAGCCCCCGGGAGCCGGGAGTCAGGAGAGAGGCCCGGACCGGTCTCCCTCGCAGCTCTCGGAAGGGACCAACTCCGCCCAAGTCCTTGATCTCAGAATTCTGGTCCCCAGAGTGTGAGGACAATATGTTTGCGTCCCTTAAGCCACTCTTTGTGGTGCTTTTGTTACAGCAGCCCCAGCAAATCTATAAAGATTCTGTAGAGCGTTCCCTGTCCAACCCCTTCTTCCAGTTGTCAATCACGCTTCCTGCATGGAAGGCAAAGCTGGAAGAAGAACTGCCGAAGCGCAGGACCCTGGGCGAGCGGTACCAGTGAGGTCGCTCCAGACCCGCCTCCCACGCCCCGCGCCCTTCGCAGTGCATGCTGGGGCTTGTAGTTCCGGCGTGCGGAGTCCTGCGCGCGGAGTCCTGCGCGCGCATCCCCAACCGCCGGGCGACTTCCTCTTCGGCCTCGGCTTCCGGAAGCTAAGCAAGTTAAAGTTCAACGCTTCCTTTCCCCGCCTCCTAGTCCCGCAGACTGACAACCCAGGTAACCAATAGGTGACCTGACTGGCGCTTTCTTTTACTCGATTGGCGTAGAGTTTTGCAGCCGCCCCGATAAATTTGCCGGGGATTGGTGGAGCTTCAGTTTTGAAAATTCTAGATTTCGCCCGCCCAGCGCGGCCCATTGCTTCCCCGGAGCCGTGAGCCTCAGCGTTCGGGAGCTGAGGGTCTGGCGGTCGGGGGCCTTGTCTAGGGAGGTCGCTGGACTTGGATCTGAGTAGCACTTAGGAGACGCGGTTTAACCGAGTGAGTGTGCGCGGGCGGCTATGG